CTGACAGTGGCCAGTCAATATTACACAAATTTCCCTTTCCCCCCCCGTGCCTCGGTGCCCCCCCCCCCCAGCAGCACAGGCTTTCTTCTCCCTCTCCCGCCGTCTCTCCTGCATCCCTCTTCACCTCCTCGGTGCTCCCCTCCCCCTACCCTTAGTCTCCGGCTCTTGGGGAACAATCACCACTGATTGAGGTTCACTCTGTTTGGCTGGAAAACTGGCCTGTTATTTAGGAAGTCATTAATCACATCTCCTCCCCCGGAAAGAGATGGCGGAAAAACCTGTGAAGTACAATTTCTTACCATTCCTCTCAGAAATATTCTGAAATGATAAACCTAAACCTAAATGTAATTTAGCATGAAAGTAATAGTTTTTTCAGTAGGATTTTATTTTAAATTTCGGGAAAAAATTCAGGTTAAATTAGCTATGCGTTTGCTTTTTGATAGGTCTATGTTTTACCAATATCTGAAGTTAATGGATATGTAATTAGTTTAATTTGGACTTGGGAATTACATATTTTCCTCTTAAGAATTAAATGTTAAATTAATGTTCCCAAGGAGGTTTGCTGTTAGGCAGTGGCAGAATTCCTACAGGGGGGAATCATAGCGTCAGCTTTATTTAATGACTCCCACTATGAGATTATTTAGACAAGCTTGTGTGTCGGGCACGCGTGTGCATATATATGACTGCGGCTTTTCTAAATCAACGATTTACAAGGGCCTTTCATTGTGTTTAAATAGAAGTACAAAATAAGCATTCTGATTAATCATAAAGAAGCGTCCCCAATTGTCTTTAAGATAACATGTTTGAGTTTTCCGTGTTCATTCATAAATTATTTTGATGTCAGCACAGATGAAATGGCGATTGGTTATCTCTTCCTCTTGCCAGCCCCTTAAGGATCCGAGGTGAAATTAGTAGCAAGAAAGCATGTAATTGACAAAGTCACGTGTGCTCAGGGGGCCAGAAACTGGAGAGAGAAGAGAAAAAAAAAAAAATCAAAAGAAGGAAAGCACATTAGACCATGCGAACTAAATTTGTGATCGCACAAAATCAAGATGTTAGATTGATGCAGAAGAACACTCCGGTCCAAAGGGAAAGTTTTCCTCTCACGAGTTTGGAGCTGAGGGCCGGTGGGGCAACATGGCCGAAGGTTAATTTTCTTTTCTATTGTTTTACTGTGATTTTCTTCCTTTTCTCCCGCTTCTCCCCGCCACCTCCTATCTCACCCTTCTTTGCCTGTCCCCCTTTATCCTAATACTAGGCATTACCTCCCCACCCCCTCATAGTGCAGTGGGGCTTTCGGCAAACCTATTGTTACAGATCTCCAAAAATGTTTTGTACCGCCCACACTGATTCACAACTTGAAAAGCTTTCAGGCGGCTATTGTTTGAATTGTGTGATTAAGCGCAGTTTCAGTTAGAGAGCTCAAGAAAACTTTTATACACCTGCCCCCTCCCCCATTCCAGCCTGTTTAATTGAAAGATGGGGGGAGGGGAATGCTTATTGCAGATACCCTGGGATTCGCTTCTGCCACAGCATGTGCATTAACTAGTGCTTCTAACCATCCTCAGCATTGATTTCTCCTCCTTCCTCCTGCGTGCCAGAGAAGAGTTTCCTTGAAAATTTTCTCTTTGTGAGTGGGATTATTACTAGGTCAGCAATATGCAAGCGAACAAGTATTGCACGCCGTGACCGTAGTTTGTTTCTGAACCACCGAGATAAATGAAGTGCACGTCCGTACAGAAACGTGGAAGCCGGCGTGGTCAACGGAACAGTGTGACTCCCCTCCCTGGATTCGGTTTTGACCCTTTTCATTTAAATATTTTTTTCAGCTTCTCTTCCTTTTCCTGCAAGTAAAAAAATTCTTTCTGTACTCACAGCATGAAAATCCAGACTAACTGACTTTTTGTCCTGTTCCACCTCAGGCGGGGCAAGCCAAGGTGGTGAAGAGCTGGGAAGGCTGCCTGAGCAGGCAGAGGACGAATCCCAGGTTTTGCACGGAACTGGCCACTGCAAGTGGTTCAATGTGCGCATGGGATTTGGATTCATCTCCATGATAAGCCGAGAGGGAAGTCCCTTGGATATTCCAGTGGATGTATTTGTACACCAAGTAAGCCAAACTTTTTAATGTTTGTCTGTGGTTATGTTAATAGACATACAATATATTGAAAAATAAAAATTTTTCCTTAAAATCAAGTGATAATCCAGTTTTTAGGGCATATATACGAGTTCCTTCTAGGATATCTTTTTATAAATAAAAAATGAGGTCCTTGATATTTCACTATTTGGACTTGGGTTGATACTATTAGCATCTCCTTTTCTTCATTGGACAATCAGATTGCATTCTGGTATCTTTTGGTTAATATTAGTTTCAACGTAGTGCCTGTGGGTAATGAATGAGTGGGAAATGTAGGAAGAAACAGTGGTTGATCATAAAAGGTTAAAGAAAGCCAGACAATTTGCTGTTGTAAGAAACTGTTGGTTTCCTATATTTTAGGTACCTCTAGTCACAGTACTGCTTGTATTATTTTATCATCATCTGCTCTATAGCTGTTTGCAGATTCATGTCAAAATAATTTGACATTACAGTAAAATTAAACAGAATATTATTGGCCTAGAGTGGATTTGAAGAAATGCCAGGGATGATTCTTGGTAACCAGGCGTTTAAGAACTGTGCTTTCTCTAGAGCATTGATCTGGGGATACTGTCTCTTTAAGAGACTGAACCTAAAAAAAAAAAAAAAAAAAAAAGAGTCCAAGGCGGCTGTTTAAAACGTGATAGTTGGCTACTTGGGGTGAATTTCTATTATTACTTGTATGTGTTATAATTTTAAAAAGTGCTTAAGCGCCAAACAATGTCATTGCTTCACATTTTCAAATTTTTTCCTCAGGAAATGGTAAATTAATAATTCTCTCATTCCTTTCTGTTAATCAATTTCTCCAAAATAAAAAAGATTTGCACTTTGCAAACCTATTTTCTTCATCAAAAGAAGTAAAGGAAATAACTGTTCTCTGTAATGAATTAATAGAAATAAAGAAGCTTATGAATATAGAAGTTGATTTTGGTTTACCATCTAAGAACTGAATGAATTTTATATTGCAGGTTGACTGACACAAATACATGCCTGAAATAGTTTCTGCTCAAATAACATGTTTATTTGATACTGTATTTAGTAATATTTATACTGTATCCCCTTAAGGAATATCATCTTCAGATTACACATTTAAACAGGAGGAACATAGGAAACCATTCTGTTTTGGTCTGTTGTGCTGTGGTGCATGGTAGCTTTCTGACTTTGCTGTGTAGTGGTACATGTTTTCCTTTTCTAAAGGCTTGGCTATCTTTATTGGCTCTTCACATGTGGATCAGCATAATGTGTGAAATGAAATGATTTAAGTAGTGAATAGGAGCCTACATATAGCCCATTGAATTTATGCTGTATATTCCTGTGTTTTTTTTTTTTTAATTCTGTAGATTGAATGACTAAAATCATTATAAACCCGTTTTCTCTCCAGCTCTTGCTTCCCCCTTTGAGCCTTTTTTATGTTGCTAAATTGTTCTTTACGATCTCATAAATTCGTTTTATAGATGAATGAAAAAAATAGCACGTCCTTGTGTGATCACACCTTGTTATAATTCGGTTTTCAGTGTTTGGGTTTTAAAAATATACTTTAAAAATAATTTAAAAATTAAAATATATTCAGATACTAGCCATTTTATTAACCACTGTTAGCATTTAGACCTATGAAACATCCATATTGAAGCTACTTAATAGTTATATTTTGATAAACATTCTTATGTCCACCGAATTAAAAATACTATATTGCTGGTAAACATTTACATATCACTCGCAGTTTCTATAATATAACATTGATTTTTTTAACATTTTCCCATTACATCTCTGCATATGTGATAAGGATCATGATGCTCCTTGGTGTCTTTTATTGAGATTGGCAGAAATTACATAGGACTTATATGAATTATTACTTTGCAGATGTAGACTTTCTACTGATTTTAGTCAGATAACTATAAGTAAAACTTGTGTGGTTGTAAATGGTGTGTGTAAGTATACTGTGCTCATCCTTATGGAATCAGGCTGTAGTTCAGAGCTATTTCATAAAAAATTTAAAACCCTTTTTAATTTTAACCATTATTTTTACTGTATTTCTTCCCATTATATTTACATAGTTTTGCTATATGTGAATCTGCATAATTCATAGTTAGAAATTTTAATATTCAGCTAGGCCAATGTCTATGAAAAGTATTATCAGGTTGGTTTTTAAAAAGAAATTTATGATTGTTGTGTGTCGTTGGGTGGTGTGTGGCTGTGTGATCAGAGAGTGATGTTGTGGAGTTATTTCTTCTTTCCACCCTCATGTGATCAGGTCAGCAGGCTTCAGGGACAATGCTTTACCTGTTGGGCCTTTTTACCCATCAGGGATTTTTTTTTTTTTTTGGTATGTGCTCAAAAGTATATTTGCCATTGGATTTCTTTTTAAAATATTCTGAGCAGATTGTTAATGTTACGCATTTGAGAAATCAAAATAAATGATTTTAGGGTCTTTAAAATCTTTGAACTTTATACCAAGGTACTCAGGATTTTTTTTTTTTTTTTCTTAAAAATATTTACTACAAAGAACTGAACAGCAGAACAATTCAAGCTGGGCATGGTGGCACATGCTTTTGATCCCAGCATTCAGGAGGTAGAGACAGGAGGATCTCTGAGTTTCAGGCCAGCTGGGGCTACATAGTGAGACCCCCATCTCAAAAACAAAGCCAAAAATTCAGTTGCTATGAAATAAAGATATATATATAGATATATATGTAAAAGGAACACAAATTAGACTCTATAGGCCTTATTATATATGTAAATTGTAGAGCACATTAAATTAGGCAGGGGTCTCTCCCTCCTGGAGTGCTTAGATCACATGCACACATCCACACCTAGTTTTATGTGGTATTTAGTATTTTTTTTTAAAGCTCATGCATGCTAGGCAAGCATTCTGTTATTGAGCTATATATACATAGATCCCCATCTCCTATAATGACTTAAGAATCCAAAGCAAAGGGCAAAAGTGTGTCCCAGATGAAGTATAACTATTCCTGGTCCAGGGTCTTACTGAGCCGAATTCATCAACTAGAATACAATTTTGTAAGTGCTAACAACTAATAGTCCTATCAACTTCTTTACATTAGCAAGTATTTTAAAAAATGCAACTATAATCAGATTGTAGGTGTTTTAGTTCCCTAGAAAAGGTTACTGGCAGATTTTTTTGAAATACAAGTTCTTAATAAGAGTTAAACATGATGGAAGAATGTATAGGAATTCCATGATAATTAAATATTGGGCATTTTCTGGAAAAGGACAGTGTTACACAATAACCTGTTAATATTTGCTAATTATGTAAGTTTTTCTTTATATAGGTCTTGATTTTGATTTCTTTTTTAAAAAATATTATTTTTATTTTATGTGTATGAGTGTTTTGTCTGCATATGCGTCGGTGTACCTGTGTTGTGCAATGTGGAGGTGAGAAGAGGGCATCGGATCCTGTGTAACTGGTTTACAGATGGTTGTTAGCTGCCATGTGGGTGCTGGGAATCGAACCTGGGTCCTCTGCAGGAGCAGCCAGTGCTCTTAACTGCTGAATGAGTTCTCCAGCCCCTTGGTATTGATTTCTAAAGTCTTTATCTCACCTAAGAAAATAGGATCAGTTGAATATAACAGAATCAGTTCTTACTGATGTCTTAGCTTATTTGCATGATAGTTTCTCATATATTGTGTGTATGTATATTTGGAATTCCTTGCAGTGGAGTATTACATAAAGCATTTTAATATAAACATTTGCTTCATAATTTCTGTAAGAATTTTTCCAAAGGAAAAGAGTAATTTCAGAATGACTATAATTAAGCTACTATTACACAGTAGACTACAATATTTATTTATTGGTTTTGAGATCATCACTTACTTTTCAATTATTGGTATTTTATTCTTATTCCTTATTTTTCATTCATATTTTCATCTTCATGAATAATAATGTAATTGTCTACATTGTAATGGTTTTATATGTTTCATGTTCTTTTTATTGCTTGGTTTAGAAAATATCTCAAAGAGTAATGGAAACAGAAGAAATAAAAATAGTTATGATTGAGTGAATTAGTTACTCTTCTGTTGCTGTGATAAAACACCATGACCAAGGCAACTTGTAGAAGGAAGTGTTTATTTGGCTTATGGTTCCAGAGGGATAGGAGTCATCATGCGAGGGGAAGCATGGCATAAAGCAGCTGGAGCAGAAAGCTGAGGGCTCACATCTTCAAGCAGTCACAGAAAGCAGAGAAACTGGAAAGAGAACAAGGCTAAGAACTCAAAGCCCGCCTCCCCAAGGCTGCAGCTCCTAACCCTCTGCAAACAGCGCCACCAGCTGAGCCACGTGTGAGCTTCTTGGAGATGTTCTCATGGAAACCACTATGCTGCAGATAATGATACATACACACCTGAAATCCCAGCACTTCTGTGACATACACACCTGAAATCCCAGCACTTCTGTGGAGGTTGAGGCAGAAGGATCAAGAGTTCAAGATCAGTCGGGCTGGAGCGATGGCCTAGCGATGAAGGGCACATGCTGCTCCTCCACAGGACCCGAATTTGATTCCCAGCACTCAACGTCCCAGCTGCTTGGCTCACAGCAGCCTGTAACTCTAGCACTGCACTCATGCACAAACCCAACATGCGACACACACATATACACATAATTTAAAAAAATAAAGAAAATAGTTCAAGATCAAGTTCAATGTCAGCCTGGGCTACAGCTTGTAACAAACAGACAAGAAATAAAAATAACTATAATAATGAATTTAAAAGCGTTACTAAAATTGTTACATATTTAGAGATGACTAGTATTTACATAATTTTTTCATTATTTTATGTGTACGAGTATATTGTCTGCATGCATGTAAGTGCACCTGTATTGTACATTCTCCTCAGAGATCAGAAGAGGGCCTTGGATTCTCCTGGAACTGGAGTTATAAATGTTTTTTAGCTACTATGTGGATGCTGGGACTTGAACCTGGCTCCTCTGGAAGAGCAGCCAGTGTTCTTAACTGCTGAGCCAT